AACTGAACCTGTTCACATGCTCCCAGACATGGTACTGTCGGACTGGCACTAAAGCGGGAAGGAGGAGAAGATCTCTTATCATACTAGATACATGCTTGTATATAATCAAAGCTAATGTCTGAGCAATCCGACGGTTGTTAGGGATGGATAGAAACGGACAGAACAACATAGAACAAAGAAAACAACAGAAAACTTAAAAAATATATGGGTGCAGCCACACAATCGATAGAATTCGACGATCTCCACAACGGCTGCACCAAATCTCCCGATATTGGACTTGTTCGACTCGTCTTGACGGTAGCTTTCCCACAATACCTAATGCGTCTGGATCGGAGAAGAACTGGGGTAGATATGGTGAAAATACCATGAAGCGGCCCGATATGGAAACTAAGTGGCTGTAACCTGGTCTGGAAAAATATCAAAAAATACAGAGATGATGGGGGAAGTGCAACGGGCTTTGTGGGGCTGGGGGATTGTGTGTCGGGTCCCAGGTAACATCTGTAGACCATTATATAGTGCTGTTTGGGTACTACTGGCTTGTCCCTCCTACAACGTCAAGTGCGATGGACCCTCTTCCTCTCCCACTTCCACTTCACCCTCATCCACTGCCCAGGGAAGCTCATGGGGAAGCTGGATGCACTCTCCCGGTGCGCTGACCACCCGAAAGGGAGGGACAACAATGAAGGGCTGACCCTCCTCCAACCAGCCTGGTTTGAGGCTCGCATGACAGAGGCTGTCTCAGTAGAGGGCAAGGGAGCAACCATCCTGGAGAGGATATGCGAGGTGAAGGACCACGATGAGAGGGTAGTAAAAGCCATGCAAGAGCTGGGAGAAGGGACACTAAGGTCAGATGAGTGGGAGAAGCAAGGAGACCTGATCCTGTACTGAGGAAGGGTGTATGTCCCAAAAGACCCTCAACTCCACCATGACCTGGTATGGCTACACCATGATGCATGGGTGACGGGGCACCCAGGGCAATGGAAAACCCTGGAACTTGTCTCCCATGACTACTGGTGGCCCTGGATGGCAGAGTACATTGGGCGATATGTATGTGGGTGCGACACCTGCAACTGCATCAAGTCCTTCCCCTCATGAAAAGTTGGGAAGCTCACCCCAAATAAGGTCCCCACCCATCGCTGGCAGGTGATTTCGGTGGATATGATAGGAGAGCTCCCAGAATCAAAGGGATACAATGCCATCCTCATTGTAGTGGACCGGCTGTCCAAACACATCCATGTGGTCCCCACTGTGATGACTGTGGACTCGGAAGGTATCGTGCGCCTCTTCCTAGAACACATCTGGAGACACCACAGGCTCCCCAAGGAAATCCTCAGTGACAGGGGGAGTGCCTTCATCTCACACTTCTCAAAGGAACTGGCAGACCTCCTCAGCATCAAGCTGACCCCCTCAACCCCCTATCACCCCCAGACAGATGGACAGACAGAGTGGGTCAACCAAGAGATTGAGGCCTACCTCTGGGTGTTTGTCAACCACCACCAGGACGACTGGGCGGACTGGCTCCCCCTAGCAGAGTTCTCCTACAACAAAACTGTGTCCACTCCTCCACCCACCGGACCCCCTTCAAACTTGACACTGGCCAACACCCCAGGATGGGGACAGAACCCACATGCACATCCGAGGTGGAGGCCACCAACACATTCTCATCAAGGATGATGAAGATGCAGGAAGAGGCAAAGGCAGCACTAGAGCATGCAGCAGATGAGATGTCCCATTACTACGACCAGGACCATGAGGTGGCCCCAAAGGTGACCGAGTCTGGCTCAATGCTCAGAACTACACAACAGACTGCCCAACCAAAAAGCTAGACCACAAATGGCTCGGCCCCTTCACAATCACCAAAGTCATCTCCCCAGCCACTGTCAAACTCCAACTCAGTGCACGACAGAAGGGAGTCCACCCAGTCATATCCATAATGAACATCAGACCACACCACCTGGATGACATCCCAGAACGACCTGCTGACCCTTGCCCAGGCCCGGAACTTGTAGATGGGGAAGAGGAATATGAAGTCGAAAAGATACTGAACTCTAAGTGGCTATGTCAGAAACTCTGGTATTTGGTAAAGTTCGCTGGTTGGTCAAACTCAGAAAACCAATGGCTCCAATGGGACCACTTAACCCACACCCCTGACCAGATCGAAGAATTCCACAGGATGCACCCCCAAGCCCCAGGGAGAGAGAGGGAGAACCACCTGGCCGCTTTGAGGTGAAACAGCTTAAGGAGGGGGTGATGTCAGGGCACACCTGCTGGACCCGGCCCCACCTCACCCGGTACCCCAGTACCCACTCTCCCCCTGCTTCCCTCTTCTTTCCCCTCCCCTCTCTTCCCTTCCACTTCCTCACTTCCCCCCTATTCTATTTCCTCTTTATTTTCTCTTTACTTTACATGGACGACTTTCCTTTGTATCAATGTACCATTGACCCACCCACAGCACACATATGACACACCTGGCCCGGACATCTCAGGCAACTCCCCGCTGTGCCCAGCACACATGCTCGCACCAGATGCCCTTGGGATCTCCCATGGAGATACCCAGGTGGTCATGGCTGTGTGCGAGGGTGATGTGGCACCTGTCATGTGACCCAAGCCGCATGTATATAAACGTACCTGGGGTGGGAACTGAAGAAGTAGCCTTCTTCTCATCTTTCCACTTCAGTCTAAGTGGCCAGGGACTGTTGTCCCACATTGGGCCTGTCAGTATGCATGCCCGATCCGCACCCTGCCAGGCTCTCAGCCCCAGATGCTACACCCGGGCCTCCTTGACCCTGGACAAGTCCCTGACAGGGAATCAAGTTGATTTTGGACTGGGGTTATGTCAGGGACACTTCCGGGGTAGAAGGGGTCCAGATGTAGTGCCCGGCAGAGGGGCCCTTGCAGGGTGTAAACTGGGCATGTGTACTGGTGGGCCTGGAAAGGGACAGCAGTCCCTGACCACTCAGACTGAAGTGGAAAAGGTGAGAAGAAGGTTACTTCTTTGGTTCCCACTTCAGGTACATTTATGTACATGTGGCTTGAGTCACATGATGGGTGCCATGTCATCCTCAGAGACAGCTGCAGCCATCCGGGTGTCCCCATGGGGGATTCTGAGAGCATCCACTGCAGGCATGCATGCTGGGCACAGTGGGAAGCTGTCCAGGGTGTCTGGGCCGGATGGGTCAATAGTACATTGATACAAAGGAAAGTGGTCCATGTAGATAGAAGGAAATAAACAAGAAAAGGAAGATGAGAGGAATGAGATAAAGAAAGGGGAAGAAAGAGAGAAAGGAAAGGGGAGGAGAGGGAGGAAGGAGGAGGGAGAGGGTTGGACAGCGGGGAGCGGGTGTGGTGTGGCTGGGTGGGTCCGGGTGGACCCGGGTCAGGCGGGTGTGCCCTGACAGCTTTGCAGGGCAAGCGAGTGTATTGTCCAGCGGAGGTGGGAGTGCGCTAGCGGATGTCGGAGCTGTCCAGAAGCCTTCGGGGCTCCGTACTTAGGGAGGCATAGGTAATAAATTGAAAGGAGGGGGTGGTGACCATCGAGGGGTACCGAGAAGGACCAAATGGACAAACAGCAATGGCACTTGAGTCGCTGAGGCCAAGGTCCCTCCTTGCTAAGTGTAAAGAGTGGTAACCCCACCCTTTATTCATTATCTTATTGTATATTCGTCTCGATTTAAACATGTATAAACAATGTATATACAATAACACAGGAATTTGGGAAAAGGAAGAGAACTCCTTTTCCTCCCCATCGTTGATAATTAAAGCTCCATACAGCTCAACTTTATTGATGACCTGAGGATTGAGGAGAACTGGGGTTGGAACCTACACCAACCCCTTACACTAAGTCTCCAGTTCCACTCCAAAATTGTAGGGAATGGATGTGTGGTGATGCGTGCTGTGCATGCTTTCTTTATTATGTGTTTATTCCTTTTTATTCCTTGATGTAAACAATGTATAGATTCCAGACAGCTTGAGGATAGCAAGGGTCAACACTAAGGTCGGAACCTCAACTGACCTTTCAGGAATTGTCCACACTCGCCCCGTTCTAACAGAAAAGCTGAGAGAGTCAACAATTCCAATCTTTCCCATCCAATGAACATTCAAGGTAAACATGCCCTATGGTGACAAGAAAGTGATCAAAAGGAGATAGATAACAATGGATGCTGCTTACGCTTTTACAGATCATCAATCTCGGGGTCGAACCGTTGAGTACCTATGGGCAGACATCAGTACACTGTCAGGGTCATGTGTGCTTGCAACAAAGAAGGCCCCAGAAACCTAGTTGATATCAAAGCTGGGGGACATGCCCACACCAGCACAAGGTCTTATGTACACAATAGAGGCAGCCATCAGGCAACTAACTAATAACTGACAGCTGCAGACTGGATCAAACCAGAGATGAAGAAGCAAAAAAGAAGAAGTTGATGGAAATACAGGTCATGTGGCAATTATGCTAGTGACCCAAAGGCATGCCCTGACATACACCCTTGAACATGCCAATGTATTATACACATGATGTCAAAGAAGAGTCAAACATGTAAGCACAAGTGGCACAAACTACATAATTTCACTGGGTGGAGAGTGACACTGCTGTGCAGGTAACAAGCAATATGACATTGCTGGAGAAAAGCACACATGCAAGAGACAGAGGGGGTGGGGAAAAAGAAACAATATACAGAGGGTGGGAAAAATGCTAAGGAATACCAGGCTGGAAAGTGACCTTACAAGCAAGCAAGCATGTTTTGATAATGGTATACAATGTACACATCAACTTCATCCCTAAATCGATCGACGATGGGGCTCATTCTGCATGGCGGAATAGGATGAACTCGGGAGAGTGAGCAAGGGCAATTAAAAACGCAAAGCAAGAACTGTCGCCGAGAAAGACAAAATTAACAGAAATGAAGTTTACTCTTCACACCGTTCAGAATAGAAAGAACCAGGAGGACGGCGAGCGTGGATCAAGTGAGTTATTAGATACACAACTGCGCCGAAACACCCCTTCAGGCCCTCTCGATCAGTCTCACATCGCCCAAATTCTTCTTCTCCAAATCACTCATCCCACTTGTCTCCTCCGCTATATCGCCAGCGTGATGGGCTTCGCCTGCATAGGCATTATCCTTCCCTCCTTCTTCGAACGCCAACGCGTGTTCTTCAAAGTGCGTAGAATGACGCTCTGGCCCGAGAAAAGTGACAATGATCGTGAATATTGCTACGGTTCCGAGGAGGATACTGTTCGGATAGATAAGTGAGTAAAGCGTGAACTCACGAGGACAAGGATTAGATGAGAGGATCGAAGAAGCGGGGAAGGCAGAAAATGGACAAAAGAACAAACGTTTGCGCACCCTTGAACCTTTGCATAATCAGGGACAATTTTCCCACGGAGCCTCGTCTTAAGATGGTCACCACCAGCTAAAAATATCCATCACCCAACATGATCATTCCAGTGACGTGACCCATCCAACGGAGGAATGATCCAACGAGAAAAACAAACACGACCATAAAAAGGAAGTGAGATAAAGAATGAGTCAACAGCCGTTACTTTAACCCTCGTCAAGAAGGACTGATGAGAAGCGAAACTTACTCGCTTCGATTTGAGCCGACGCCGACGAAACCATGTTACCAAGTTGATAAACGACCCCAGTCCACTGCGTCAAACCCAAAACCAAAATTAGCATTCTGTCAAAGCCACATTCCATTTCCCCTAAAACCAAATCTGATCCACAGATAGGGATGGCGGGCAAACAAAGACGAACAAAGACGAAAAAAAAAAAAAAAAAACAGTGTATACTCACCGTAGCGCGGAAACCTGGAGGGCTCAACTCGGCTAACTGAACAGGGATAACTCCCCAAGCGCCTTGCACGCCGAACTGAACAAAGAAAGCGCCTGCCGAGAGGCCACCGAACGAATAAGGCAAGATCCAGAGTGGGATGAAACATCCGACGAGGAGAATGAAAAGGATGATCGTTAAACGACGCCCGAGGTATTGGGAGACGAAGCCGGCCGTTGCTCCTCCTGTGATAGCTCCTACTACATTGGGTGCAGAGAAAGGGGGGAGGTCAGCGAGTGTGAATGGGAAAGGGGACGTGAGGGGAAAGAACATACAGTTTCCAATAATAGTGGCCACAGTCGCATGGTACGAATCGAACCCTTTGCTCGCTTGCAAGTACGTCGGGTACAAATCTATGAAAAGTTCAAACATCGCATCAGTATTACTCCAAGCTCTAGCTACATTCCAAGAGCGACGAAGCAAGCCACCATATTGTCCCTTCAAAACATTAGCCCCTCGGCAAGATGCCCACACCGCAAGCGGCTACGGCCACATCATACGATTGAGCTCCAAACGCCCGCTCTGACCAGGGAGAGATGCGAAAAAAGATACCACTCACCCTGAGACCCATGACTGAGAAAGTTAAAACCAGTCATCAAAAGCACCCCATAAATACACAACAGCCAATGCTCCTTCAACATTTGACCAATGCGACGGAGAAATATCCGTGTCTTGCTCCCTTCAACTTCATCATACTTGCCTTCTGCCTCCAGCTTAGCCTTCAATTCCCTCTTTTCATTTTGAGCTCGGAGGAAAAGATCAGATTCGGGGAGGGATAGACGGACGAGGCCTGCGACGAAGGACAAGCAAGCTGCGAACCAAAAAAGAGTGCGCCATTTATGTCTATTGTGTGCGACGAGGGTCTATCGGTTTATTGGAAGCCGTTTGACGCAGTGGCACGTGGGGTGTGGTTGTGAATATTGAAAGAGAAGCGGATGAAGTTGAGAAGCAACCATGCGGTTGAAGGCATGAGGAATGATGAGCGAGAAGCGTGAATGAGAGCACGAAGACCAAATCAAGTCAGTCCAATAACTGAACAGAGAATCGCAGGTCACATACCAAATTGACCACAGCCGCAATCAAATAACCTAGTATCAAAAGTCGGAATTAACTCCAATTCAAACTAGAATAACCCCTATTGAGAGAAAAAAGGTAACGGAGTAATTACTCACCCACTGCATAACCCTGCTGCAAGACCCCACTTCCCAACCCTCTCAACTCGACTGGCAGACTCTCCAAAGCCGTCGCGCTCGCCATACCCCATACCCCGCCCATCCCGATTCCAAATAACGAACGACAGGCGAGGAATTGCTTGAATGTTTGACAGAAGGAGGTGCCCACTTGGAGGACGGTGATCAGAAAGAGGTTGAAGACGAGAGGGTATTTTCGGCCAAACCGGTCGGAGGCTGTGGTTGAGAGAAAAGGAGAAGTTGGTCAGCAAACATGATTCGGGGCATGAAGAGGATTAAACGTACCGAGACCAAAAAGAACAGCACCCAGAGAACGGAAAAGAAGGGTAAGGGTAATACTAGTCGTAATATCATGCGTGCTACAGTCCCGAAGAAAATAAGTAACAGTAGTAAGATATGGTTAAACGAATCAACGATATACCTTCGATCAAATTGTTTGCTAAGAAACGTAACGGTCAAACTGACACTGAAAAAATCCAGTGCATCGCAAGTCCAAGCGAGCCAACCAGCTGCACGACGAAGCAAAAAAAAGCAAACCCCTCACTCCTCAGCCTTTGCACATTAGCAAACTAGAAACAGAGACATACAAAAGAACATCAACCAGTGCTTGAGTTCTAACTGTTTCAAAAGTTCGAATTTGCTGGGCCCATCCCTCCGAGGTGGATCAGGCAACTTGTAAGACCTGAGGTGGTTGATGACAGCTTGCCGGAGGCTGACTTCCATTGTTCTTCTCTCCCTAAGAATGAGAAGGAGTCAAGAAGCGGAAAGGGATGACGAAGATGACGAAGAATGAGGACGCGGGGGCGAAAGGGACTCGGAGAGAGAACAGGCCCCAATTTGTACTGTTCGCGCTTGTGAATGGGATGAATTGTGCAACATGTATAATTTTTATATATATCCTCACCCGCAGGTCCCATTTTTTCTCCCTGTTATATTACTGACTTGGACCCGTACTGGACTTGGTCAAATTGGCTGGTCGTTTTGAGATCGAGACAATATCCCGAAAAAAGAAATTATATCCAGAACCTATTCACGGTTAATCAAATTCCGAAATGGATGATAATATATCGTCTTGATTGCTTTGCCTCTTGTGAGCCTAAAAGGTAATCGAAAGGAAATCAAATTCCTGTGCTGCAATGGTCACCGATGCCAAGGACGGCGTTGATCGTTGTTGTCTTGATCAATTGAGTTGTACATGAAAGCCATCTATCCAACAAGATATGACAACGATTTCAACGCCCTACCAATTCCTTCCTTGAACAAATTGCCAAAACGGTTGAGTCGGGAAAGGTGGAGGGGGAAATATTAAACAAGGTGAGCGTGACCTAAGTACTCTGACGTCCTGAGTGTCGGCTCCCGCGTCGCTTGTTTAAATTATTGTGCCTGTGAGATGAGAACCCCCACCATCTTCTCAGCTCCTCCTATCTCTCTCACTTCTCTTGTTTCTCCGTTCACGCGACTGCGCGACTGCGATAGTGATTGGGGGCCCTGGTCCAAGAAAATGCTCACACACGCGCAGACGAGGACAACCCGGAGAAAGGATACATGTACGGAATATATCAACTGATGAAGTGGGCAATGATCTTGCATATATTGAATTAATCTCCTGCTCAATCGCCATTCCCACTAACCAAAACCACCCAACCGCCTAAATTATCCTCCCTCCTACCAAACATTTCCGTACTGCAACCAAGGGTAGACATACATCCAACGTGGCACTGCATAATCTATTCAGGCGTGCATATGTGGCAACCATATTTGTGGACTTCTACCCAACATGCATCGTTGTTCCCCCCCATTGACTTCTTCTCATCCTAGCTGTGTGTGAACCAATAAACCATATCTCATCACGCCCATGCATACACATTACATTCGAAACCATTTCACCCCCCACCCACACACCACAAATAATGCATTCACAAAAGCGTGTCTCGAGAAGCATATTCCTTATCCCTTTATGTCATACTCCCCTTCGATCCCGAATCTAGCCGCTTGTACGAGATACATGCAAGGGTGGTTACGGATCATCTCTGCTGTTCTTTCCGGTAGCAACCAGCGCGCATATGACCTGAGTATGGGGCCTATGTGTACCGTATGTATGAACGACGAGTCCCACTCGGAAGTCATACCTCATTCTTCTCACGTTGTGTCGTACACTTGGCGCACGGCCGAGCTACACACTCACACTAGCTGGGCATGAGTTGGATTATTCTCACCGCCCATGTGCATATATATCCTATCATATTAGCGAGCTCGTTCGCTGGTCAGGAGGCATAACACTGCCGTGTGGTGCCAGCAACAGCCCTTGGCTGAATTGGCTGTAGAGATTCCGGACTCTGGTTCTTCGCCGAGGCGCCTGGCCAGTCGGGGAAAGGAGCTAGAGTGGCGTGAAGAGTGGTTAGAGGCGTTGTTTTCCCTCCCCTGCGCGCAGAATTCTTATCTGGTGGCATTCGTTTGGTCGTGCCCGTGCCCATGTATCATGACCTCCTCCTTGGCTTTTCTGGCTTGGGATCTAATCCAGGCCACTCGCTCATTGCCTCGCTTGTTGTAATGGTCTCAGTCATTCCTGCTGCGAGTGCGCCGTGGGTTGGCGCAAGTTATCGGGTGGATTGCGCAATGATGGGACTTCTGAACCAGACTTGAATTTGGACGGTTCCCGGTCAGGGCGCTCCAGGTAGGCGAGTACGTTCCTTCCGATCCGCCAGACATAGACCATATCATAGACCGTACCCAGCCCTCTCACTCTAAAGTCACGGTCACCCCTCTCCATCGCCCCTTCCTTCCTTCTCCCGACTCAGCTCTCTCGAACTCTAATCGTTCGCATCATACCAAGACTACGCACAAACTTCCATCCAACCCTCTGACTTCCAACTGCCCTCCCCTTCCACTCCCACAACGCAACCACATGCGAGTTGCATTGAGTATCTAACAGACCGCCACTTCGGTCGCCTCCTAATATTAATCCTTCGTCCCTTGATCCAGCCTTCATTCCTTCAATCACGTCCCCTCCTCTCATTCAATCCCCACGACCTAAAATAATACTCCACACGCGCACGGACCTCCATCCTCGTATACATCCCTCCTTACAAGCTCGAACCGTGCTGCCCGCACACACAGACTTATATGTCGAATTAACGGAACCGCCTCCTGACCGATCGATCGAATACTGTGAACATTCCTTGGGCCTCGACCGAAGAACTCATCATGCAGTGAACAATCTCGCGGCATATAATTTGAGAAGGTGTCCACACACTGCCCGTGGCCATGGGGGTCACGAAAGTCAAACCTAGGCATTATTCCTCATATTAGATGGGGGTCAAATAACCGGCAGCTATGTAATCCGCATGCATGAGTCGCGCAGTGCTCGCCAGCACATCGACCAGAAGGGGTGATATACGGGGACAAGATACGGTCATGCTCGGCCGAGCTAGGCCCATATGTATGGCCTCATGCCCTGTTTGATCAAATAATAGGAGTCTAGGTGACCCGGTGTAACGCGACGTACACGATTACATCCTATTCCATGAGGGGGTCCTACTAGCTTCCATATGTTGAAAAAGAGAGATAGGTAAGTACGTGAGTGAACCTAATATTTCGGTCGGCCGCTAGGTATTAAAATATGAATCAAAGTTCAAGCAGCTGGCCCAGTTTGCCACTGTATCTCACCTTACATAGACGAACAAAACGTCCAATCGAACTGTATATGGTATTTGACTCGAAGTCAAATCACAATAATCGTGCGACATATGACTAGATACGAGCTGGTAATTAGAATATTGTGTCGATTGATGAGGGGGCATACAGGTGACATCCGCCAGTCCCTCGATGGGGAGCCAGAGCCTAGCCAGTACGTCCAGTTCGTGCGCGCGCGCACTGCATCGGCGTATCGAAGTGATCAAGGAAAACTGAGGCAATGTGCCACGCACAACCTCGGTTATGGCCTAGCCTTCAACCTTGGGTGGCACAAAACGCAATTGGCTATATAGATACTGCGTGTTGGCACTCAGTTCCCGGTCCCCTTAGCGGGCATTTACTTAATTCTAAGAGTGGGGTCCAGATTCAGGGGCTGGATGAATCGAGGCAAAAAGATTTCACCCGGTCCCGATTGGAGAGATGGAAAGATCCTACGGTACTCTGGTGGGGTAGTGGACGATTAGGGAGAAGAACCGATGAGCCGCAGCCTAGCCGTGGATGCAAGAATGTGCATCGTACACGTTGCACTTGTGACTTAGTCAACTAGGTCAGTCGACAGGACACCATTAATTGTTACCACATGGCACATGCCATGAAGTTGATCAATCGGATGAGATAGGTATCGGCAACCTTTGCACCCGGCCCCTCCTCGCCCCATATCGTACCAGATCGGTCGAACGAAACGATTCTACCTCGTACCACTCAATCGATACGGGTGCGATACGCTGTCATCGAGCGAACACGTCATCATGGTTCTCGCACGGGAACTTCCAACTCGTGTTATACACACCACCAGCTTCCATCTGAAGCGATCAAGGTGTGCACATCTCCTCAGCTATTCCGCAACACCTTCGATGGTGCATTATAGGACGCAATGCTGTTGCCGGTTTGAACATGAAATTATCGATGTCTGAAGACGGGTGGTGTCATTTTTTCTCTGTCTTAATGAGTTTTCCTACAGCCACTTCTGTTGACTGGTCCGACACGGAACAAAGCTTCAAGACTTCGCAAATGACAATGTATACCGGATTATGTAAGCCAGCTGCAATCCCAGCTTCCTTACATTCCTCTATCTGGATTATTTCCTGGCCTTGGGATGTATGTCATGTAGATGCTGGATCAAAATTGCACTTGTCTTCCGAAAATTCGCTGCAGCTTTACATAAATCTTGTTCTATTCAGCCTCCAGAAGTTGTGGCGGCAGTCTATGAAAGGGGCCGGTGGCACAATAATCTTGTTTTAAAATCAAAAACCTTTGGAGCAGTGTAGGATTTTTGGTGAAACCATGTATAATTTTGTGCACTCCACCAGTCTCCAAGTGTATATATGTACGCGTTTGCTCCTGCGCATTGTCTAAATGGTGAAGGCAGCCGATGGATTCTCAATCAATGGGAACCAGTTAATTGACGCTTGCGCAGCTTGCATCACTCTGTAACCTTGTTATATTCCCATCCAAATCTCTGATGGGCACACACCTGGTACATGCAAGAATATGTCCAAACGTGCTTGAAGCTCATTATGCGCCATTGAGGCACGTATATAAGAGCCATTGTATATTTGATTCGTTGCATGGAACTCCACACGTTCCAAAAATACATAGCCATGCATGCAACAAACCAACGCCCAGACAACCAGCTTTGGTGCATGCCGAGGAAAGCGAAAGAGAAAACATCCTTAAGTGCTAGCTTAAATTCACGACATGCTCCCCACAAGGGCGCTCCGCACAAGGGGTACGTATCGGGACATCAACAAAATTAATCCAAATTGATAGCCTTTCCGAACTTGGCATACAAGGTAGCCTTAAGGCTCTTCATTTCCTGAATGCAGTCATCCAAACGGATCTGCAAGGCATTGATCTCTCTCGCGAGACACTCTTGATCAGCCACCATCATTTTTTGTGCCTTGCCAACAGGAACATGAAGAAATGCTTCCCCTACTCGATACCTGAGCGGCAAGCGGACTAGATAAGCCTCCACTCAATTCCACATACTTATGGGTGCCTCACAGAACAGGGGTTCCCTCGTCCATGAGCTCAATAGTCTCTAATTCTGTCGACAGATCGTCCAGTGCTTCACGGTCTTCCTATTAAAGCAGCAGTGAATTGTTTGGGAAACGTTTCAGTTATGTATGGTTTGCCTTCTTCTTTTCCAAGTCTTCTTCTAAATCCTTGCATCTGGTATTGAGCTTTGAAAACGTGTTTATGCGCTGCTGGTCCTCTGCTCCTTGTAAGTCCTCTCCCTCCCTTTAGAAGAGATAAATGCGGTGCCTACCCCAGTCAACCTCTGGAGCATCCGTCTCCTCCTCTGCAGGCGTTAACTTTGGATAGATGGATAAGGTGTCTGACTCTGTAGCTCATGAATGAGGTTTACTGCACCATACGCATCTCGAATTTCCAGGAACCGTCAAACTGATGCACAGCCACCGTATCCCTAAGATTTCCTGCGCTTGTTTCTCCTTCCTCCTGTTGATACATAGGGGCCAGCGACCTGCCCCTCCCTTATCCTCAGTGCCTTCCATCCTGTCGGATGGCATCTCATGGCATCTCTCTTTCAGCCTTGGTCTCTCTGCTGCGCAAAGCCGCTACCGGCTCAACTTCGTTAGACCGTCTAAAAAATATTCTGTCCATCTACGTGGCAGTGGTGTACAGCTGCAGGGCCTACAGACACGTACTCGCTAGGGGTGCGCGAGAGTCGGTCAATGATGTATGGTTAACACTGGTCCGAGTACGCTTTTCTATATTTGCTGAAGAGCGTGGTGACTAAAAATATAATCCCCTAAAAGTTCTTTGTATCACTGGCAATGCGCTTTCCGTCTGTCCGGAAGAAAATCGAAACAGAAATGGGAAAGGCAAGGAGCGAAATCGAAGCCAAACTGGTGCCTTCAGGTCCTTCTGTGACACGACACCTGGCGCTACCGGCGGTTGGTCGATCCCTTGAGTGGATTGTTGCCGAAATGAATAGTATGGACGAGGAGTCGGTTACCAAGACAGATTGGAAAGATGGGAGAGTGTCTGGTGCAGTGTATCATGGTGGCGAAGACCTTGAGGTACGCTTGCCAGTGGTGATCCTGTGGATGATTAAGTTTTTACTAAACCCTTAAACTCAGAAAGTCATCACCACTACTATGAGCAAGTATATTTTTAGCAACCCTTTGCACCCTGATGTTTTCCCAGGTCCGCTTGAGTGTTCAGAATCAGCTCAAGCTCGAGTATCGCTGAAGTAGTTTCGACAGCGATTAGGAAAATGGAAGCTGAAGTCGTTTCCATGTGTCTTCGAATGTCATTCCCTCCTTCTCAGGTGATTAAAGTGACGGCCAGCTCATGCTAGTGCAAACAGATACAATAATCCAAATGGGGCTGGTACGACAACATCAGGAGGCACCGAATCGATCCTTATGTCCGTCAAGACACATCGGGACTGGGCTCGGAGCGTCAAACGCGTAACTGAACCTGAAATGTGGAGTTATTTTTGTCTCTCATCTTTCGTTGGTACCAATGAACTGTTCGTCTGAAAGGGTTGTTCCGAGCACTGCCCATGCAGCGTTCTGGAAGGCTGCGCACTTCTTAGGGGTCAAGATTCATCGCATCCCGGTTGATCCTATCACCAGAAAAGTTGATTTGCGCAGGGTCCATCGAGCAATGTGGGTAAATTAGTGGACATGGACAAAATCCTCTTTGATATAAATGCCCTGCAGAAATTCGAATACTATCATGGTATGGTCATTTCAACTAGTGAACCTAGGAATAAAATCCGAGTGATGGAACTGCTTAGCTCGTCGGGTCTGCTGTAAATTTTCCGGACGGGAACATGGATGACATTGTCGCTTTGGGTGCCCTCGCGAAACGCGGCAATGTAGGTCTTCATGGTGAGCGGTTGTTGCGGAAGGGCTGATAATCATGGAGCACTCAGTTTCATTGCGGCTCGCTGTAGTGGATTGCTGCCTAGGATCGTTCATTGTTCCATTCCTTGAAGAGGCAGGGTTCCAAATGGACTTATTCGACTTCAGGGTAGAGGGCGTCACCGCTATTTCTTGTGATACGCACAAGGTACGCCCTTCCGTGGATCAGTTTCCCAAAGCTTCAGGTTGATTAGCTGTGTTAGTACGGGTTCGCCCCTAAAGTTAGTTGTTCATTCTTTGTGGTGGCTGGTTGCATCAAATTGAGATCCCTTCCCAGGGCTCTTCTGTCATCATGTACCGAAATGCGGAGTTGCGACGTTATCAATACTCGATTATGGCTGATTGGACTGGTGGAGTATATGGGACACCTGCTATTGCCGGTTCACGGTAAGAGAAATATTGGAGAGTTCACACTGATTTCCTCATTTCGCTGACAGGCCTGGAGCGATTCTTGCGGGAACCTGGGCAGCCATGCAGCATGTAGGGCAGAGGTGCGCGAGGAATATACATACACCTGTCTTCACACATTCACAACACTTTGAATAGTGGTTACCTCGAATCCTGTCGCTCTATTGTCGGCTGCTGTAAAGCGATCCAACAAAGAATTAGAGATGAAATACCTGAATTATTCATCATCGGGAATCCACCAGCTTCGGTGTTCGCGTTTGGGTCCAAAGTGATGAATCCACTGGCTGTCGGAGATGCTATGTCCAAGAGGGGCTGGCATCTAAATGCGCTGGGAGATGGTATTGGAGTGCACCTGGCATGCACTGTGGGTATCTTTATTTTTCCAGGATACTCGGGGAACTCAAAAGCATTAATTCTCAGCGCCTCACAGTGCCTAATCAAGAGCAGTTCATTGCGGATTTGAAAGATGCCGTGGCCGAAGTCAAGGTCTCACCAGCACAGGGGGGGACCATGGTTGCAGTTTATGGTACGTGGCGGTCGTTGGGCATCACCGTTCAACACAACCGGTAACCACTTTTATCATTGATTTTACCACTGTCATTAGGGCTAGGGAGTTCAACGGTTGTAGGACCTAATATGGTTACGGAACTGGCTAGCTCATTCCTGGATGTGATGTACAAAGCCTAGGTGACATGACGCGATCGCGGCCCCTTTGTTCCTGGCTACCGAATGTGTGCAACACCAGCGCCCTTCTGCACCGCGTGGCATCAGCTCCACATTGGTCAAATTTCCTCTACTCAGCTGATTCCATAGGCTCCACTTTCCCAGAATATAAGAATTGTTGCCTTTTCCTTTTTCTTACGGGTCCTGGCATTTCATTCTTCGCAGCCTGGTTGTAGGTGACTGCTACGATACACGTGGATTCTTGTGTAAATCCCGTTCTCCTTCGAACTGAATTGGTGAAGGTATCAATTTTAATCGCCATTCTGGCCTCGGCGTCGGGCAGCCCGAGAAGAACTGACCCCTAACCACGACGCAAATTACTTAGTCGGGTGATGCACGTCGAAAGGCCGTACGCGATTGCGACGACGCACATCCAACGCAATACAGTTGAAATCATCGATGATCCTTTTTAAGTTGCTGAGATAGTTGCCGCCTAAGCTACCCAGAGTACTGAGGCTGAGCGATGTTACGAAATCATGGAGGCTGGAGTCCTGCCTAGCAGAGCGAGATCCTGTATTATTCACACACTCCGCAGCGACTCATCGCCGATACAGATCCTCTGGTAACCGTATTGCAAATTCTCCCTTCCCGGTCTCCTAAACTTCCTCCGGACATCTCCGTACGCAGGTCCAAACCATTTCATGTCGTGTGACCCCTGCGCTAAAGGTGTATCGCATTCCCCTCACCATAAAGCCACAGGTCTACTTGCAATCTTGAATTGCATCTCATCCCGGAGTGCAAGAGAGTAGTAGGGACTTGCCGCGTTAGGCAGCGTCCAGCAGTTATAACTGGTTGGCGTGGCCTGTATCGTGGCAACGCCTGCTGCTCTCATTGATCAGATTGTTGGTTAGGTCCCGATCAGAGGGTGGTGCAATTGGATCGCGCCACACGCTGGTAGACATGGGAAATGTATGCATTGAGTGGAACAAGACGACAGTGAGACGAAAGATTTGGAGCGTGGGTTACGTCGAGAAGATTTAAGTACGCCGCTATCTGCGTTTTAGCAGTCGTGTCCGATCAAAAAATCAAATCCCTCACAACACAGAGACGGGCCACGCCCGGTCCACTTGGTCCACTCAGACTGAGACAAATATGATATGTCGTATCCCATACACCAAGTGCTGTTGATATTCACCACTGCCAGGTGTAAGTGTTGAGTGGGTCAACTCCCAGGAATCCAATGAGGGCCGTCACAGGACTCCCTAGCAGCCATGGCTCATCTCCGTCCAACATACCTGCCGCAGCCCACGCATCCAGCCACCATCGCACCGTATACAATAGCCAAACCCATGCAAACACTCTTCTTATCATCGACGATGCGCCAAAAATCGGGCGAAGCAGCATCATGTCGAAAGTGATTCCGATCGGTTGGGCGAAAAAGAAATTTGCTGCCGAGAGGTCGTACTTCCAGAAACGCAGGAGTGAAGCTTGCGGTCTCGGCATTGTCCCTGGAGGAGTGGCTAGACGAACTCGAAAGACGAGACCAAGGTGAAATATTCCGGATGCAATGAAGGATAGAATCATGGTCACATAGGCGGCAGAGGGGGAAAGACGAATCTTCGGGGTTTTCTTATCCCAACGTGTGGCGTCATCGCCATCTTGCGTGATACCAACCTCGTGCAGTTCATTGCCATCATGTTGTGCGATGCTTGTCCCGTTCTGCAGAAACTTTGGTCTGCGAGCCTTCTGTTGGACGGTGGGATGACGTGTCGACGGAAATAAGAAGTAGACAAAAGGGAACGCAAATCGTAGAAACAGCCGCCGATGCATGGAGTGCCACGCTTGGCTCCAAAAGTGAGGCAATGAGTGGGACCACCAAGGGTTGTCAAAAGGGGGAGGCCAATTGTCTAGATCAGACGAGAGGCCAGATCCGACGCAGATAACGAGTAGAGATGTATGGAGTATGAGGAAGACCGCTTGGGCATGCATAAAAAATTCTAATGCCAAAACGATTTGTTGCCAGAAGGGAAGCAACATTGTGACAGGGGTGTAATTGTCATAGGACCTCGCCTTTAGGGTGGGAGAGATCGCAGCATGTATATATGACCTGATGAGGTCTAAGGGGAGATAGGTGAGAAGTGCGGAAACGATACTATTCAGCACGAATCGAGAACTGGTAAGGGAACGAGGAGCATGATACGCAGCCAACTTGGATGACGTCCAATTCCAATGACGATAGGAACGATAGCTAGTGCCATCCAGACTAGAGGTTAAGTCCAGGGCATAAATCAATCTTTCGATGCTGGTTGTAGGAAGTGGGATATTATTTCCAGAAGTGTGTTCGACGTAATGAGGGGGCCTAATGTCCAGAAGCGACAGAACACAGACATCTACTATACGAGCCACACCGATGGCGGTGAGTGTCCATATAGTTGAGTAAGACTGCGGAATAAATGACATGAGTGTTTGCAGGCGGTCTATTCAAAGCGCGCGCTTACACTCGGCCACAAAGCACCGTCATGCTCGACATAACTTCTCCAGCAGAAGTCGTAGAAGGCGTAAAGGCCCACCGGCGCTATGAGAAGTCGAAATACACATGCGGTTCGTGAGCCCTCGTACGTCAAACTGTAGTGGCTGGCAGTGAGAACGCTGAACCCGACGCCGAGAGATGGCAGGAGGCTTGCTGTGTTAGGCTCGGGTGCCATTCTGCAAGCAAAGATGGGGATCAGACCCCGCGTATAAATAAGGAAGGTCCATGTTTCGGCCCTGGCCGATCGTGGGACCCCAAGGGCGACAGGAATGAAAAGTGTGAACGAATGGCCGAGACAGCATTTTACGCCGCGAAAATGCAAAGTCTTTTATGCAAGGCCCCTTTGTTGTCTCTGATCATGCATCCGTGCTAATCCCCACCCTCCTGGTAGTCAGGGACTCTCTTGAATAGCTTTTATATCTCTCGAAATGTTGCTCGGTTTTTTATCTTTTGCGAAATTCTGATATGAACGAGCATAGGCCTGATCACGAATACATAGAATCTTAGGGCAATGCTGAGCTGTGCAGGCAGCTGTGCTGGAATATGATGGTCCCTCGAGTATGGAGGATAAGCGCCTGTCATCACATGTCATCAAGGAGGATATTCCCGATTAAATTCAAAACATGTCTCTTCCCCCCAATCCCACCTTGTACGTGCATAATCTCGATGACAAGGTAAAGAAGGATGGTAAGAAGCTTTAGAAATATAATGACTTATTTTGGTGAAGCGAACTAATGGCTGTAACATCTCCAGAACTCCGGCGGCAGCTCTACGCTCTCTTTAACACCTATGGCAAAATAATAGACGTTGTTGCCGAAAAGGGTACCAGAAAACGCGGCCAGGCGTTCGTAGTATTTAGAGATATTGCATCTGCCACATCGGCAATGCGGAGTCTTGATGGGGAGCTCTTCTATGGCAAGAAGATGGTGAGCGACAGCCCATAGTCAGTGCTTATCACATTGAGAGATCACGTACTGTCTTTTAGCGTATAGAATATGCAAAAACGTCAAGCTATGCTACATTAAGAGCCAATGATTCTAACTGGATACCCCCAAAGTTGGTTCAGTCTTCTGTGGCAAAGAAAGCAGTGGCCAATGGAACTGGCAAGTTCACGGTGTCGAATGCGGAGAACGATCAACGCAAACGATTAAGAGAGGGAGAAGACGCTGATATGAACGAGCCAGATGAGAAGAAGCGACGTGATGCCGATGATGATATGGAGATGGACGAAGATGATGACCAAAACCCAACAAAAGGTAACAATTTATGTATTCATTCCTCGAGCTGGTTCTCATTAAGCCGCCCCAATCTAGCTCGGGTCCCACCTTCCACCTCAGCAGCGCCATCGCCGTTTTTATATTGCCAGAATCTTCCAGTTGAAGTTACTGAGGACGTACTGGCTGTACTCTTCCAACAGTAAGTAATGGCTATTTCTGGGGTAGGTTCTCTCTCATCTAATACGTTCACATCTAGGTATCCTGGCTTCTTGGGCACCAAACTTTCGGCTGCAGATCCAACGACAAAATCGAAAACGGGACATGTACGGTATGCCACTACAGACGAAGCAACCGTTGCTCTGGAGGCTTTGAATGGGTTCCAGGTTAAGCGGGGGTGGAAGATGGGTGTATCATATGCTTTGGCCTGATGTGATGAATAAGGGACCTACGTGTGTATACTACCTGGGAGCTTTGCTCATCCCTTCGTGACACTTGTACGAGCAATATTGCCCGGAAAGTTACAACATTTTGTGTTGGCGTCGAAGCGCCACAATGATTTGGCCTCTCCCAAGGGGGTCTGGGGCAAGAGCTGTCAAGCTATGCAAGGACAAGGCGCGGCTCACTGAACTGTGATCCTCCGACAAGGGCAACCGGAATGCATTGAACGCTCCTTGCATAGGCCAACAGTCAATGAGAAGGGTCTATATACGTTCTCGCCGTCATAATATTTACGCAGGATCACATCGAGAGTGCATTATTGCTATTTTCAAATTTCCAGTTCGAATCGCGCTTCAGAGTTTACACTATTACTCACCCAATTCGCCATGTATGTTAGGTAGGCATCGATCAGTTTTAAAGTAGTATTCCCAAATGCAGTAAATTTAAAAATCCAGCCCGTTAAAGCAAATAGAAAGCCTACTTGTGCTTCAGATATCATCCATACGTCTATACCAAGCCTTTGACAAGCTGAAATGCATGAGCTCCCGCTCCTCGTTTGCTTTAGCGGGCTTTATTTATTGCATTTGGGAATTTAAAAAAAAAGAAAAACTGATCTATACCTTACATATGCGGCTAGCTACTTTGGCGCTTTTCAACGCATGTTGAGTCATGGAGATTGGTGTGATCTCTGAAAGCGCATTTTTTGAATTGCGGAGTCTGCCTGAAAATACTAGCTGTTTTGCTGGGCTCGAAATAATTGCCAACTTTCACCGGAGAAATGGCTCGAGAATCGCATCTTCCCACTGAGATTTTGGACATGATTTTCAAGCTCGCTACCAGAGCCGTCACTGTCGACACATCATACCAGCCGCTCAGCTGCGATGTGTGGCAGTTTGAGTCTTCATTCCCATCCGCTCCATCGTGGCACAGGTCAGAACTTGCGACCCACAAATGTTTGACTCTGGTGTCTCGACGGTGGCGCGAGCTGTCGTTACCCCTTCTGTATCACCACATTTCCCTTTTTCATGAGTTAGCCTTGTCGAGTCTAGTCGGAACGGTTGAGGCATCGCACAATGAGCTTGGTGCTCTCATTCGGCGGATCGACTTGCTATTCTCCGAAGAAAGCGGATTCCAAAATAATGACGTCCCAATTTTGCGGCTGCTGCAGAGCTGTCCCAATCTCACTGTACTCTTCCAATCTTTGCCCAAGTCCATTGGCTCAAGCCCAGGGAAGCTTACCTGCAACCCGCCCATGATGATGCTCGGCACCGCTCAAAAGCTGCTGCTTCAAGCCAGTCTTATTGGCACTTGTGCCTCGGATATGACTGCAATCCTCTCATTCCTACAGGTTCAGCGAGAGCTACGCATTCTGAACCTGTCTTTGTTCCTCGATGGAGACTGTGGGGTTAGCGCGTTGGACGTATTGAGTCTGCCGAAACTCCATACTATTCGTCTAGACAGCACGTCGCATTTCAGCGTTGGCTCTGTTGCGAAGGCTTGGGATGTTCCATCGCTAAGGAGAATTCAAGGGCCATGGGACTACAAAGAATGGTCCAAATATATCAATCCTCATCAGATCACCTCTGTATATGTCGAGCATGCATTACGATGGGATGATTTTTTGTGCGTTTGTCCTAACATCGAAGAAGTGTATCTCAACCATCAACCACCGATCTGGATATCAACACAAAATAAAATTGTGCGCATTGGTCTGGAGTTGAAACAGCAGGACGAATGGGCTATCAAGGACCATCTTATCACATTCAAGAACCCTACTATCTACCCAAACCTATCAGTCATTCGTTTGAGCATACAAAAGCCCATGTTTAAAACTAAACGCCAGGGCGTTTTTTGGGCGTATTGGGCGTCACGCTGGGAGGCGGCGGACGTCCGGCTCGAATACAAAAATGGCCATTCAATTTTTCAAGATATTCCTGACAAGTTCCGTACAGAGGACGTTGTAAACCAGTACCTCAAGTTGTTCAAGTAGAGGGCGAGTAAAACTCAGAGGCATGAGAGGTCTTGCATGGTCTCTCGTACTGTTTGATCAGCATTACAGAAGTGGGCCGCCCTCCTGTGTTAACCCCATGCTTCAAAATCCATTATATTTGACTTGCCGATGGTTGGCATTTTTCATTTATATTGTTCCCCGGGCCAGAGCGCCCGTTGTTGCTTGACCGCATGTATCATCGAATGTTAAGGGCGTTGCCATTCGCTAAACATCCGGTTTATCACACATGCATCCCAGGCAAGGGCAACCATGTATAGTTGGCGAGTCAACACTGGTTTCTGGAAACAGCAACGACAGGCCTGAGGCAACGACTGAGACGGTTGAGGCTGTGCTACAAGTGCACATGTTCAATTGAGGTTTCCTTCAAGCGACCAGCAATTGACTTACAATTGCCAGTAATTTACCATAGTTCTTCATACCCGTACTTGGGCCCAAATCAACAGAATGGCCACAAAGCGGCGGCCTGATGCCCCTTCTCTTCGAACGACGTCTCCAGTTCCAGTAAAACCTCAACTGAGCGTTGAGGAGTGGGAGGCCAAAGCTCCTTTGAGCGATGCTGCCCTGAGGAGCGTGGCGAGGCTGAAGGCTGCGTCCGAACAAAGGCCCCTCCCTCTTAAAGTATTGTTGCTCACTGGCGGACTCGATTGATATCTGTGGGACTGACGTAAGGGGATCCAGTTTGTTGAAGGGCGCAACCCCTCAGCTTCTCGTCCATCCACCCCACGAAATGCTATGCTTCCTTCCTCGCGCCCAGGGACTCCACTCGCCGCGAATATATCACCGCGCCAAGAGACTTTTAATGCTCCCGTACATCCTTTGCATCCTGCACATCCTATTGCGACCCCACAGCAATTTTATGACTGGTTCGCCGTTGTAGAGCAAACCATATCACATTCCCAAGAAGCTCACTTCCGAAACCACCTAGAAACCGTCCAACAGCAGCTTGCGCGATGTGAGGCTATGCGCAACAGCGTCATCGAAATAAATGATTTGGTTCAAGGAATGCTCAGCGATTGGAGGAATGTCGAGGAAGGCGCCGAAAACCTTCAAGCTGCATGCGAAAGGCTGCTGGAAGAACGAGTGGGTACCATAACTCGTTCGGATTTTGCATTTTCGTGCTCAGATTTCGATAAGGACCGCCTCATTCAAGTTACGGAGGAGATTTCAGTGCATATGGAATATTATGAGGAACTCGAACACGCCACACGAATGTTGAATCATCCTGGGGATGCAGTGGTACTTCAGGCAGACTTCCTCCTCATGGTTGAGCGCGTGGACGTTTGCATTGAGTATTTCCAAACTCATGTGAGTGTCTTTTACGCGTATCTTTGCCAACGTAATCACCGCCCACACAGAGGCATTTCGTCGAAGCAGACATATACTTGCTTCGCTTCCAGCAATGTATGACACGAGCAATGACGCTCATCAAGATTTATTTTGTTGGAAGCTTGAAATCCTTGGCTTCGGATGCTCAGCGCCGAATGACAGAACAGGTATGCACAGGGAGTCTCCACCCCGATCAAACCTCATCAATCTGTTAGAAACTTTCAGCGACAGCCGAGAAGCATATCTTATACTCCAAGTTCGGTGCTATGGCCGGTCCTGTCGCTCCATTACTCGCGGAGCTCGAAAGGAGAGCGATGGAGCATCCCGATGAGCTTGCCAGCCTCCTTTCAGAGTGTCATACAATATACTTTTCTGTGCGGAAATCCGTGATATCTGGGAGGCTGTCAGCGGAAATTAAGGCACTGGATCCTGCCAATAGCAACCTCGTCGAACTTGTACGTTGTTCTGGGCTCTCGAACCTACAGAGGTGACTTACTTGGGCGATATAGACCCGTTCGGGATGTAGTTACCTGAAGCAACTCTGCGCTGAAGAGTTTGAGCTCTATTGTCGTTTCTTCAATTCTGGGGAAGAAAAGCTCTAGTATGACCACGTCCTTTGCAATACGTGTCAGTTGCTAATGTCAGGGTTTAGCAGATATCTAGAGAGTTTATGTGATTACCTCTACGACGACTTGCGTCCCCGCATTCTGCATGAGCCGTCACTTCTCGTCTTGTGCCAAGTTTGTACCGTACTCCAGGCCTTGATGATACTCGATACCGCTGCGGCAGATAAAGTCGATTCGGATGACGAAGCAGGGCATAGATTGCAACACCAACGCATTCCTCCCGTGGATCGATCTTTCGCTGCTAGGCTTATATCGTTGGTGGGGGCCAACGCCGAGGTCCCTAAGCCTCTCCAAAGGCTTAACACTGCACACTTATTGCAAATGATTCTACAAGATGCCCGGACACGACTCTTCTTTAAAGCGCAAGCTGCTGTGCAGGCAGAGATCCGTCACTTCGCTCCTTCAAAAGCCGACCTGGATTATCCCGGAAATATCAGTTGTGAGTGGTTTTGTTGGTCATCCATACTTTTCTTGCACTCATCCAGGCAAAATCCAGCCCCGAGCGCAACCATCCCCGAGGATGAATCGGTCATCAATACCGAGTTGTTCGCCGCTCTCTCATATCGCGAGTCAAGGGCTGCCTGGTATCCAACCCTACGAAAACTCCATTGGGTTTTATCACTCCTTCATGACTTTGTTGACGTAAGTTGATACCCTGAGCTTCTGCTTTCAAACCCCTAACCCAGGATATCGGAACCAGCCTGCAATTTTCGAGGACATGGCAGGCGAGGCGATCGGCGCTTGCCGCCACTCCCTTTTCTCGGCTTCCCAACTCGTTGCAGCTCAGTCCTCCGAGCTTGATGCTCAGCTCTTCTTGATTCGTCATCTCATGATTCTGAAGGAGATGACCAGCGTGCTGGATGCAGAAAGAGTGGAAGGGGATGCCCGTCCTGTTGGACCTCAGCAGCCGGCTCTGGGTAAGCAGGATCCAAGCACCGTTTTTGTGTATGTGATACCAACACTCCACCAAGTAACTGAGTATCTAGGGGCCTTACTGCGGGGGACATCCTCAATCTTCGGATCTTCGACCTTATTTGGGGGTTTGATCTCTTTAGGTGCATCAACAGACGATTCTGCCAAACTGGTATGTACATAACAAATTCATTTGCTTTATCCTCGTTGAGCCACGGCTAGTCTGCAGACGAAGAACTTAAACGGGAGTGCGAAACCCTTATAAATATGTGCGCTGAACGAGCCACTCAGCCACTACGGGATGCACCTTGGAACCTGAGCAAAAATCCTAATGGTGCCAACCTTGCAGGAACGGCTGTCCCCATAATTTCAACTCAAATGAATCGATTCCTTGAAAATTGTGAGAATGAGGTACGGGCATGGGTTGAGAAACTGCGTCTCTATCTTGAAGATGCGAGAACGGTTGGTATCCTTGTGGCGCCAATGCAAGCGAATGCGGTGAGCCGTTATGAGGGATTCCGCGCCTCGATGAACCTTGACGCGGAGCAGGAACCAATAGTGTCTACAGCAGAGCTTTGGGATCTACTTCGGTCATGGTGTGGAGAGTGAATATTGTAAATGGCTAGTATATTAGAACTATAAAACCTATTGGCACTTCAAAGCACCCAACGCATATGTGTCTATTGCGCGGCTGGCGAAGTTGTTGCAAAAAAAGCCAGTCCTACCCGAACCTTCTCTGCTAAATTTTGGAGTTCTTCATCATCGCTGTTCGTCCATCTTTCCGACTCCGGGATCTCTGCTTCATTTACCCCTGCGCGAATTTTCCTCTCCCAGCTCCTTTTTTTACGGTGGGAAATGCCAATGTGGCGAGGGTCGCTGTACCCGGTGTAAAGGATGACCGCGGTAGAATGGGGGAGATGAGCAACTAGTTTGTCGATAGCGGTGTTCAGCGATCTCAAAGCGGTTTCACCCTCAGGTTGGGATGTGAATGAAGGGATATCGCCCGAGGATGTTGCATGATAGGTCCATCTAAGGGCGCGTGGCAAGTTTGGAAGGTGGCCATACACAAACTCGTGATGCTCGAGGGCACCGATTATACCAGAAGCAATCTAAGATATGGATGAGTGAATGGTGAATAACTTATGAACATGGACGCACCTCGTCATCGTTCGTGCAATCGAGTTGACTGTTGGATCCGCTCCCATATCTTTGGCTTTCAGGCCCAACAAAGGCTGCTTTCATCCCCTTCATTCGTACTCTGTCCCATATCGACGTTGAAACAACCTTCCCAAATGCCATGTCATTCTCCAGTTTCTTCTTAACAAGCTTTACACAAGCCTGAGCATCTTCGATAGGGGAGTGCCCTCTGGGTCCCGACGCCGGCGAGGGTTGACCGGCAGTCCCAGAACCCACGAGGATTGGGCGCTGGTCTTGGATGGTGATCCACAAATACCTTTGTGCCAGCCATTTCAAACTGGCTTTTCTCGTTGGCCATGCTAGGTTGTCATATATAACTGAAGTGTCGATGCAGCGGTTGTGAGCGAGCTTGAGAGCCGCCAAGTCATGTGCAATGTGATGCCCAATGAGAATGCATCGAGAATCCCGCATCAGCTGGAGGAGCTGCCTCTGAGCGTCTGCTAGAGTAGTTGTCACTGATTCCAGCATTTCAGCGATCACTCCGGTATATCTAGATGTATCGGGGAATCAAATTGTGCGAAATATGATCCATATATTGGTTGGGCTTACTCCGTGAGATAATCTCTGACTTCGCTATCCGGTTTCACGTAGAGGTCCAACAGCGGTTGGTCCTCCCAGAAATCAACGACACCCAGTCGTACTAGTTCCTTTCCGCTTGAAGTGTCCACCATTTCACAGTCAAGAGCTAAGACGACTTGCTCTTCTCCAGCATCAGCAGTAGCCGATGGTGGTTGAACCCAAGCAGATGTTCTCACAGGTGTTCGAGGATAGGACATCCATCCATTTGCGACATGAAGAACGTCAGCCTCCAAGCATTCTTCAGAGATATCTTGATCCATAGGTACATCCGTAGAGTCTAGTGGATCATTAAGGGGTGATAAAAGTCCCTCGCGAAGAACTTGAGATGGAGTGAGAAGGAGGGATTCAAGCGTGGCCTTTTCCACAGTTGTGAATCCTATAGACCATAGTATCAGCGGAGATATCGGAAGACGCATTAAGACGAATCGTGCATACGTTTCGGGTGGACGTCCTGATTGTCAGAAGTCTTATACGAGGGCCCCGCCATGAACGCTTCTACAGCATCCTCAAGGTTTGTCTTCTCGCCGGAGAAGTAGGTTGGCAGCCCATGAGTGAACAACTTGGCCATAGCTGGAAGCTTATTCTCGGGGTATGACTGATGAATGGGTAATGGAAAAGCGGGGGAGTTGGAGGTTTGGGCCGAGGGAGCGGGAATCATGGCACTCCCAGAAAACATTGAGGTAGGGTGCACTTTTTTCCTCTGGACGTGTGGCGGTGGTGGCGGCATCCCAAGAATATCTGGTGTTATTCCAGGCACATGCAAAACAAGTATACGCTTTACTAAAGGCATCGACTAGGGGCGAGTGTACATGAGGAGTGTGTCAACTTTACGCCGGTTCAGCAAACTCACAGGAGCTTTGATAAATTTTATGTATTCGGACGTTACTTTTTCGCGTATCATGGTCAGAGGAACGCTCCTCAGAGCCTTGAAGGAGAGGAAGTGAATAAAGGGAGGGAAATGTCAACACGGCCAACGAACGTGAAGCGAGACAGGTGTTGTTCGTGATTTCAGCTCCTTGGAATCAAAGATGAAATGTGTTACGCCCGAAGAATGATTGTTCTTTTTCTTCTTTGCTCCAGGACCGACGGTCACCCACTCCCCATCATAGGCTGACGGATCGCTCGCAGGCGCAAAACCGCGACCTAAAGACGCAGCCCCTGCATCACTCCCGTGCCGCTTGCGCTTCTTGACAGGCATGGCAGCACCGCCCAAAACCCTGGGTCAAAAGGCACTCAAGACCTGTACCACGACGTCCGTATGCAAGAACGCTTTCTGCGAGGACGCAAATTTAGTGGAGGGACAGCCACAGTAGCCACCATAATTATTCCCACAATCCCGCACGCCACCTACAACATACACAGTAACTTACAGGCAGCGTCACGGAAGCCTTCCGCAGGGCTGCCCTCCGAGTTGCCGTGACTCTAGGTCGTGGACGCTCCTGAGCTACTTCACGTTCTGGGTGGTCCTATGGATTGGGAGGTCCCATAAGAGTTCGAGTTGCCAGTGCTTGGCGAGAAAGGAAGAGGCTTTCCCCCAAATCAAGGCTCGTGCCTATTTTGAACACCGAGCACCTTGCTCATGATCATGGATGGGAGTGCCTTACGCTCTAATTCTGAATGGTGCTCTCCTTCAAAGCAGTGATGATGGTCGTTTCATAATAGCCATGCAAGGCCCGAAGAGTTGCTGACTGGATTGGATAATTTCAGTGCTGAGTGCCAAATTGCTTCGCGTGTCACTTATGGGCCAGCCTCCCCCTCCCCCACCCAGTAATTACTAACGTATATATATGCCTTCTGGCTTGATCATGTTCTTTGCCGTAAGCCTCTTCCCACTTTTCTGCAGCACCCCATAGTGTTGTGACTACTTTTCTGGAATTCTCTTCGAACCTCGGGACCATCAGAGTCTGCAAATTTGTATTTCCCAGTTTCTCTGGGTCCGGGAATCGGAATTCTTAGTTGACAGCTGTGTTTTCCACTCACGCTCAGTTCGTCAAGCTATGGTTGGCACTGTCAAAGACATGTCTACTAAGAGGCAGTCCATTGCTGAGGCTATGGCTAGTATACCGTCTATCGCATGTCCATTTGTATGCGGGCGCACTATTCTGGGAGTATGTGCATGTCTTCCTTCCCTGCCCTGGATTTTTCATTCACGGGGCTAATGGTCTTTTTGTGCCTCTTGCCCTTGTCCGTCCGACAAATACATGGTCCTTCTATTTGGTCATCAACAAGTTTAGGTACTTGCGTGCTCACATTTGGATTAGGAACCATTGCCTCCTTACGCTTTCCAATGGATTCTGGCACAGTTGTGGCTGCTGATCAACCAAGGCACATACAATACAGAGCGCCCGCGGCGGTGGAACAAAAAGTCAAAGCGCGCGCGGTAAATAATCAGGGAAAAAGCTTAGTATAACCATAAAAAGCTAACAAGTTATAAAAGGAAAAATAAAATGAAGAAGGGATGGACCCCGAGAATCTGGAAGCGTGAGGTCGGCTGTTGCACACGGGCAAGGAGAGGCTGGAAGAACTGGCGATCTAATCAGCGGAGGAGCAGACAGGGTGAAGAGTTCCCCCTTGAAGAAGTGGCTGAAACGATCGTCAATGACCCGCCAACACCCGAACAGGTACAACGAGTAACCGGCAGACCGCCAGTAGTGTATCTTGTTGGGTCCTCCATTTATGTTACGATGTATTAAATTTGAAGCCCTAGCTGTGGACTTGGTGGGTGGCGTAACAAAGTTTGTGTCATGTAATATGGAATTCACCCCAGGATGATTGAATCCTGACATTCCCTGGATGATCTTGGTCTCGGAGCGAGGTTCTACATGCAGAAATCGACTTACCCACAATGTCACGCCTTTCCCCGTTTGGGTATTGGCTGCAGGGAATGGGCCCCTTGCTCCACGTGGAGCACCGCTCACGCAGTGGCCTTCAGATTGGACAAGGCGAAGAAGCGGCCACAATCCATTCGGGATCGTGAGCTAGTCACTCAGCCCGGTGTATATACACTTCAACCGGAAGCACGTTGTTGTGCCCGGTTTCGTGGCATAAGTCTGACCGTTGCACCCGCCCTGGCTGTCATCCACTCGCATATCAATGAGTATCGAGCGTCGGAGCTGGCCGGGATGGCGAGTATCCGTATCTAATAAGCAGCCAAAGCTCGGCGATCGTCCATTGGAGTGTATCCAAATCCAATTGTGCCGAAGCTCAAGTCAATTTCGTTACTTGAGGATGGATCATCGAGCTTTGTAAACTGTGGCGGTCTTGCGTCTGCACAGGTGACTTCATGAGGGGCCTGCATGCTGCAGGATCCCAAGTAAGGCGCATGATGTCGGCTAGTTGTCAAAGATGACGTGTTGTGAGGCTTCGGAAAAGTTGGATCATGTGCTGGTATGTATTTCGAATCCTGTGAGCAATCAGTCAAGTAGGCAGAAACCGGCCCGGAGCAAGGAACAGAGCCAGGAGGGCCGCGGATAAAATCGAACATCGAAACGATGAGAAAGCTTGGCCAGAGGCCGAGGGTTATCAATCTGAGATTGTCGCTAAGCAAAGAGAGGCGACACGCGCATGTCTGAGCCGGTCCCATTTTCGTGAACCACGAATATATCTCAACCACCTTGACCACGAATCACTTCCTCCGGGAGCCAATTTTCCCTATGGGTGCCTCCGAGCTGGATCCCCGAGGCGCTTGGGAAAGGAATGTGTGTTCGGGGGATGACTTGGTCAGCGGAAATGCCTACGTAAATAAAGTCGCACGACAATTGGTTGTGGAGTCGGGTTGTGCTTCCCCTTAACACCTGCAAGTCTAGGTCAAGGCATCAGAGACTTATTTGGCGGGGCTGCATGGCGGAGTTGAAAACACTTCATTGCATTGCAGCCAGGTAGAGTGTACATATAGTAAAAGAACAATGTTCACTTGATGAGGCGAGTTGAAGCAAGAGACACCGGAGGCTGGTGAGTGCACAAACAGCTATTATAGAGGGATCGTCCTAATCATCATTATCCGCAAAGTTGGTTCCACTGAAAGTAAGCGGTTTTATAAGTCCAGGGCTAGTAGGTGATCATCGTTGAGTATGGTCACCAACGCGCTCCACAGTTCCTAGGGCTAGCTTACTTAGCAAAATGCTTTTTCTTCGCCTGGCTCAGCTTTGCAGTAACAGGGGTCATAAGATTGTCAGTGGGTGAAACAGTCGAGCGATAACTGTGAGGCAATTGAGAGAGTATTTGGGATAACGGTACCGTAACGACTACCCACGTTCCCTTGGCCATCTTCTTGGCAAGCAAAGCCTTCTGGCCCATAGCTGCGTTGGGTAATCCGTTGGGATGACTCCCTAAAGGTGCCTCAGAATGTTGCACTCTTGCCACTTGATCAAGATGGGGTGATTTAGCGGTAGATGAAGCAGCTGGTGCCGATGCTGAAGCCTTGGATGACATGATAATTCCTTCACCTGCAGAGTCCCCGAGGAAATGTTGAACGAGTAACTTGTCAAAGTCCAAACAATCCACAACAAAATGCAGCCGAAAAATTACTGTCCACGTGACGTAGATCGGAGAGGCTCACACTTTGACCCTTCACCTGACCGAACCCAAACCCGACTCATGTTTTATAACTAGAAAGGTTGCTTCGCAACCATGACCTTGCTTGTGGATCATGTGAACATTTCACAGGTTGCAACGGAGGTCGCAACATTTACTCATGTCAGTTCAAGAAAATTAGCAATACTAGCAAACGAACATATGGGTTGAATTGAAGATCAGGGATGGGATGCGGAACTATCAAGCGAACATCGTGAATTGAATATAAAAAGGCTCTTCTTGTGAACATATGTGACCCTTTTGAGTTGAATCGTGGATGAGTTTGTTCACGCAATGCCATAAGATGCTAGGTCTGGGGCAGAGTAGGCAAATACTGAGTGGTTCCCTTCGTTGGTGGGGTTGAGACAGACATACCTATTTCTCAAGCTTCCATCGCTTCATGGGAGAGGAGGATGGTCTGGAGAGCAGCCGCTTAGATGGCGATCCAGAATCTGTACAGTTACTGACAAGAGTGGCTGGTTTTTTGAGGATTATTATCTCTTCAACATGTGTGGAGAAAGTTGTTTTCTTCCCAGTGCAAGATCCTATCAAGTGGCATGCAAGTGTAAAGGGCATTTGTATGGTGGCCCCTGGAAGTGCAGTTGCATGCTCCAAAGGAGCAATAACTCCTTCAATTCCTTCACGATATGCGCAAAGAGGATTCGTCTGCCATCTTTTCTCCTCAAACATCTTGTCTTGGAGGTCAATGTTTCTGGCACCACTGGCCAGTGTTCCAAACCAAACTTGGGCCCCAAGAAGCCATGGACTGTTGGCACCATCATCAGCTTATGCACAGGATGTAGGTGATGATGAGGGAACAAACCCGATTCACCTTTGCTGCTATCATCATATCAACCCAATTCCGGTAATGCTGCACATAAACTGAACGAATTATCACGATAGTTGGTGGGAAACTTCCTACTTTTGGCTTTGTTTTCTGGTGTGCTGGGCTCTGTTGGTGGTGTCATACACTCTGTCTGTAGCATGACTGACTCAAGGTTTGGTGGTTCACCCAAAGCGTTTGCCATTTCGCTGCAGGAAAGGCTCTCTGTTCTTGGTGTTGAGCTGTGCATTGTGCAGAGTGTGTGTTAGATGCTTACTATGTGAATCATCTAATGGTGTTAACAGCAAGGTGGTCCTTGAAGGCACAAGACTCCCTGATATCATTCATTTTGCCATCGGCACAAAGGTTATGGTGATGTCAAACATAAACATGGATATGAATATTGCCAATGGTACTCGTGGCGAGGTTGTGGAAATAATCCCTGATCTGAGGGAGGCTACTAACAGAATAACCACTTGCTCTAATGCTAATGCTAAAGCTCAGTCTCAAGCTAATGCATGAGAACTATAATATTACCTAATGCTAAAGCTATAAGGTAATATACAATGAGTTACAATGTATAAGAAATCAGAGTAAAAGAATATTGTAACTAACCTCAGTCTCAAGCTAATGCACGAGAACTGAGGGAAAAAGGAAACTAATCCAAATGAATGAATATAGTTTGTGGACCTTGCGGATAAGTCCGAAGTGACTAAAATAGATAAGAAGAAAAAAGGTGTTGTGACCAAGTAGTCACGCTACCGCAGGAATGTGGCTGTCCGGGTGAGTTCCTCGCTCGGATGTGGGAATGTGGCTGTTGTGATGACTGCGCAGCGCGATACCTCAATTAGTTAGGCATGAGTAGTGATGGACGGACTTGCCTGCGCAGCGCGATACCTCAATTAGTGAGGTATCAGCTGCTAGCGCAAGTCCGGTCCTTATATACATCTTGTAATGACTTTACGCCACTGAGGTGAAACATAAATGGTAAACAACAAGTTGAAAACAAAAGCGCAAAGCGCAAAAACAAAGAGTCCAAGAGGTTGCCGCCGTTTGTGCCTCAAAGCGCCCCTCCCCTTCCCAAAGCGTGAATGTCCGGCCCGGGTGACTCCCTTGACCACCAGTGGCGTTGGGCTGCAACTTCTAACACTCCCCCACAGTCCAACGTCCACGCATCTATCTAGGCCACGAACTCCATCCCAAGCATCAGGCAGAAGCGATCGTGCTTTGCCTTGACTAAGGACTTCGTAAGTATGTCGGCCGCCATATCATTCGTTCCAATAAGCTTCAAATCAACCGTTCCATCCGCAACACATTCCCGTATGAAATGATACCTGACGTCGATACTTTTGGTTGCGGCGTGATTGACGGGGTTTCGAGCGAGTAGGTTTGCAGCTCGGTTATCGATGTGTAACGTGGTTGAGCCGGGCATTCCTTCATGTAATTCCTCCAGGAGGCGTCGAAGCCAGACTACTTCTTTGGCTGCTTCGGCTGCTGCAACATACTCCGCGTGTGTTGAGGATGATGCTACGCCAGCTTGCTGCTTTGACATCCACGAAACCACTCCCCCAGATAAAAGAAAGGCATATCCGGATACTGACTTTCTGTTTACCACGTCGTTCGCCCAATCTGCATCGGTGTAGCCTACGAGGTCCCCGCTCCCGGCTGTATATACTATCCCTCGGTTCATAGTCCCTGCAAGATATTTCATTATGTGCCTAAGTCCCTCGATGTGTTCTTGTCCGAAGGTCGATGCGAATGGCGCCAGCGCTCTCACGGATGCGCAGATGTCTGGACGGGTTCCTAGAGCAGCATACATGAGAGATCCGATGACTTCGAGGAAGGGGTACGAGGAAACTCTCAAATGGTCTTCCGTTGGTACCGGTTTGTGGTGTATCCCAGCGGGTAATGGCGTGGTGCATGGCGTGCAGTCTGTCATATCGAAACGAGCGAGAATATCCTTGATATACTGCGACTGGTCAATCGATAGTGTGCCAGCCGATATGTCTTGGCGAACTCGGATCCCCAGGATCCATGATGCTTCCCCTTTGCTTGAGACTTTGAAACGGTCCCCGATGGTGTCTTGGATAGATGTAAGCAGTTTCTCGTCGTTTCCAGCAAGGAGTTTGTCGTCAACGTAGACAGGAATGATTACAATGGATCGTCCTCGTTTGAATACGAAGACCGAGTGGTCAGCATGTGTTCGACGAAATCCAAGGTGAATCAAGAAGTCATGTAAGGTTGCGTACCACTCCCGTCCAGCTTGCTTCAATCCATAGAGCCCCTTCTTAAGTTTTGCAACCATTTGTTCCCTCCCCTTTTCCTCATATCCCTTCGGTTGACGCATGTATATATCTTCCGAGAGCACCCCGTTGAGATATGCCGATTTGATATCCATCTGGCGGACTCTCCAACCGTGACGGGCACATATGGCAAGAAAAACGCGTAGGGAGGCTGATTTCACAACGGGGGCGAACGTCTCTGAGTAATCGATCCCCTCCCGTTGACCAAAGCCTTGAGCCACCAGACGAGCCTTAAAACGGGTTACCTTTCCATCAGCGCCACGCTTCTTGGCGAGCACAAATCGACAGCTGATGACGTTACGGATACTTGGAGATGGGTCAACCAGATCCCAGGTGCCGGCGTCCCGGATGGCAGAAAGCTCTTCTAGCACGGCGGCATGCCATTGGTCCCGCTCGGGGCCAGCCAACGCATCCCGCAAGGTCGGAGTGTCTGGCAGATCAGCGTCTTTATCTAATATGGGGTTCACCAGATGGGCCTCATCCAACACAATATCCAGGACATCTTCCATGGTGACAGTCGCCGCAATCGGTACCTCATTCAGGAAGTCTTCATACACATTGGCAATCAGGTCCTTGCGCCGGCCATGTGCACCGTAGTCTGATGGGTCGAAGCGATGAGGTGGACGTCGTTCCCTCTGTGGTCGAGCGGTGGGCTGGGTGGCAGCGGGAGGTACAGTAGGGGGTACAGGCGGAGATGTGGGTCTGGAAGATGCCGCCTCAGTCAGGTGATCCGGGTCATCTGACTCATCACCAGAATCATCATGTGCCCTTGACTCAAAGACGGCACGTGGCTGGATCTTCGCCTCCTCCCGGAAGATAGGCGAGCGGACGATCTCGACCTTGTGGGTCAGCTCATCATACGCCTTATACCCAGAAGAATTCTCTGGATACCCTAGAAACTTAGCCGGTCGCCCCCTCTCCCCCAACTTCTGCGCTCCCAAATCTTTTGGCTGATGAATGAACATGTTAGCGTACCAAACCCTCATGTGCGCGACACTTGGCTTCCTTCCGTGGAATCGTTCAAAGGGCATCGTTGTGTTCGAGTGGGTATCGATGGTCCGGTTCATAGCGTAGACAGCTGTGGCGAAAGCGTCAGCCCATAAGAAGTTTGGAGCCTCGGCGTCCTTCAGCAAGGTGCGTCCTTTATCCAAGATCTTCCGATTAGTCCGTTCGGCCACTCCATTTTGTTCAGGGGTGTGCGGAACTGTCTGCTCCATGGCAATTCCCTTGTCTTTACAATACGTCCGAAGGGTTGAGTTCAAGTACTCTCCTCCTCCATCCGTCCTCAAAACCTTGACATGGGACCCGTACTGATTCGCAAAGTGTGTGTCCATCCTGATGAACCACCCTGTGAAATCTGACTTAAGTGAGCACGGATAGAACCAGGTGAAACCTGTCTTGTCGTCCACGAGTGTGCAGAAATATCGCCTCTTTCCAAGTGACATCACCTCCATCGGTCCGCAGATATCGGAGTGTATTCGCCCTAGTCTCTCACCAGCAACCTCATGTCCCCTTCCAAAAGATCCCCTCGTCATCTTTCCCCTGATACACGCTTCACAATCGAAACCTCTCGAGTCATCCCGAACATCTTCCATTCCCAGAACCGACCCGCTCTTTATCATTTCCTTTAATGCATCCTTCCCAGGATGGGCCAGGCGTTTGTGGAGAAGGTCGAAGGAGGGGGTGGA